TAAATAAAAATAGGGGAAAAAATATGTGGGAAAATGCTAATTTGGTGCTGGCAACTTGTCCAGGTGCCCGCGGACTTTTTTGGTTTTCTCCTGGCTGGGATTTTGGAAGTTGAGTTGAAGGAAGGGTTGGGTTGAAGTTGGAAGGTGATGGAGGTCTTTTTTTTGGGGGGGAAAAACCTGCTGAATTGATTGTCCTAAACGAGATTTTGATGGGTGACGCGCTGTTTTTTCTAAGAGTAAAAAACGGGATTCGTGGTCCTTCTCTTGGGTGACGCTTCCTCGTTAGCTTTGTTGCCATCGAAGCTAACGATTTTCATTTGAGAAAGAAGAAAAATTTGGGGATTTATTGCTTTCTCTTTGGGGAGAAAATGGGCAAATTTGAACTTTATTCCTCTGAAAACAAGGAAACTTGTTCTTATTACTCCTCCGACATTTTAATTCCTCCAAAACCGAGGAAGCTGATTTTTATTATTTCAAAATTTGATTCCTCCGAACCCGAGCTCGCCTCGAAAACCGTACCAAGGTCGACTTAAACGACTACAAACGGACACGGCAGCCCATCGCCTCAGAGGTTAATTTTATGAAAATATAGAAATTTGGTCTTTCCTAAGGTCAATGACCCAAGTTGGCCAACTCAGATTAAGTTTTTATTATTTTATTTAGTCCCCAATTTTTTCACTTCCTCCCTGCCGGTTTATAAACTCGTGTGATGAATTGGGCGGCCGTCTGCCGCTCTTATTTTTCCCTCAATGACAGAAAAAAACCCCCAAAACCCCCAAACTTACGGATTTCGACGTTGCGTTTCTCTGAAAGAAAAAGGAGAAATAAGCGTAAGGGGAAGTTTTCCTTTCTCGCAGGAAAATGGTCGGTGGCTGTTGTCTGCGCCGGGGTATGGAGAATGGTGTAGAAGCTCAGTGTCAATAATAAAACTGGTTTGGTTAAAAAAAAAATAAATAAAAAGGAAAAAGCAGGAAAAAGAAAATATTTTCCCAATTCCATGTTTTTTGGTTTTGTTTTTTTTTTTTCAGTGTGTCTTCAGAATTTAAATGAAATCCAGTCAACCTTTTCCCACCCCTCATAATTCTTTCAAGTAGCTTTTTGGGGTGAAATCACCCGAAAGCAAATTTAGGAGACGCACGCATGCGAGACCCTCCCCTCCCTCGGTATCAAAAAAAAATAAATAAAAAAAAAAATTAACTTTTTAAAAGGGGGTAGGAGAAAAAAGAGCATTTCTTACCAAGTTCTGCGGTGTGTTGGGCTGTAAGAAAGAACAGAGAAGGTCGCGTGGGTTACGGGAAGGTTTCTCCCACACCTACGTCTTGAGTGGTTGACCCGTGATGGAGACGTCGGCCGAAATTGGGTATTTTTTGGTTTGGTTGATGCCGGAAGGGGGAATTTTGGTGTGAAATAGGGATGTTGGAGCTCTTCTTCCTTCGCATCCCATCCCTGTGGTTCGTTTTAGGGGATTTGATGGTCAACCCAGCCAAGGTCATGAGCTACTGGGGATGGAGATTATGCTTCCAGTCCCTAAAAAATGATATTTTGGGGGAATATTTCAACGGGATAGAGCCCTAGTGAGTTGCAAATGCCTGGGGGCAGTCGGTTCTCCTTTGGGCAGGTCCGTATGAATTTGGTGTTGACTTGGGTGCCCCAATGGCCGTCTTGCTCTTCCCTCCCGCCTCACCTCGTAGCCGTAAGATGAAAAGAGAGAAGACGCCCAACAAAGCCAAGCAGGCAGCCAGGGTCGCCAACGAAGCTGCCATCCAGGGAGAATTCTTTGGGAAAATGGGGTCTGGAAGAGAAAAATTCCCAAAATCGTGTTAATCCGGGGTGAGATTATACGCGTATGTCGTGTGTCGGCGTGAACGTGGCTGTACATAAACGCGTGGTGGTGCTACGGTCTCGTAGAAAAGTAATTAATTAACGTGAGCCCGTTGGAAATTCAGAACTGAAAAGAAATTCCCATAAAAAAGTTCGAAACCCTTTTTTTTTTTTTTTTTTTTTAATTTGATGTTCTGTGATGGGACTATGTAGAAAAACGGTGTCTTGCAAACGCTCGGTCTCCTCTGAGCGCCTTTATTGAAATATTTAGACCTGAGGTTGCTTTTTAATAGGAAAAATTTTAAAATTTTAATAGATACACACACACACACCCCTGCTTTGCAGTGGTTCTTAAGAAAACTATGCTGAAACCAGTTTTCTACTAAAAAATTAATCCTCAACATCCCTGACTTGATCCCCGATGGCCCAGAAACGGGTTCCTCCTCCGTCGCACGTTCGTGACGCGTGGAGCGGCGCAGCCGAAGGTGCCCAACCGGGGATGCGACAGGTCCCTCGTGCCCAGAAGCCTCTTCGGATGCAGCCAACGACCATTGGGTGCATAAAATTAGGGGAAGAAACCTTATTTTCCAGATATGACTTCAAAAAAACTTTAATTCTGGTGGTACGTCACCTGATATATAAATGGTTGAGTCCTTCTCCTGGGCAAGCCGCGTGTTTCTGATGGAACAGGACACGTTTCGGCGTGCGGTTTTTTGGATGACGATGGACTTCTCCACCTCAAAGAAGCCGTTCTGGTCTTGGGAGTCGGATTCGGTGAAGGACGGGAGCTGGTGGCCCTCCAAATCTCTCCACAGCATCTCAGGCTTTGGGTACCAGCCGGTTGCTCGACATCCCACTTGGATTCCCCCGTCTTTATAATCCTTCAAGGAGAGGAGGGGGCTGGAACCTGAAACTGGGACCCAAAAAAACCCCCAATACCTCCATCAGCCAAACTGGGTGCCCACCCTGGAGAAGACCTTCTCAAAAGCTTTTTCCATTCACAGCCATAAAGTCAGGGCAGCAGTGGTGAAAGACTCATGGAAAACATCTGAACTTGGGGTGGACCTGGTGTTATTTGTTCCTACATTTTCCTCCTTCCTCAAATAAACCCAAAACCTCTTAAACTTTCAATTTTGGGGACAGCCAGAGCCGGATGAATTCCCCCTCAGAGTCACAGGACGACCGTGAAATCACGGAACCCATCCCGCGCAGAAGGATGGAAGGTCCCGAGATGAAACCATCTCCACCCAGATGGAAGCTCATCCCCTCTGCAGACTAAGCAAGGCGAGACCTGATGGTTTTAGGGAGGAAAGCACTGTCTTTGGGACATGGGAGACGCTTGACCAACTGCAAGGTCAACGTTCTCCAGCTCACGTTCCCACCTCGGGACAATTTGGAGACCACATCCTTAATGGGAAAAGGTGCACCAGGATTTATTTTTGGGTTCAGTCACGCCATCTCCTGCTTCCACCATGGAGGTCTCTTTAGGAGCGAGCCAACTGGAGATGAAGCCAGGGCCCTGGTCTGAGATGGCTGACCTGGGGGAACCGGGAGGTTTCTCCTGGTTTAGGGGATGGTGTTGCTGTATTTGTGAGGTTTCGGGGCGTTTGGTGACGGGACAGTTGATGTCCTGCAGGGATCTGAGGCCAGGCAGCTCAGGAGATGCTCACGAGGAGCTGGGCTACCAAGCAGAGAAAAACCAAACGGGATTTCTGAGTTGTCGTGGACAAATGGGACGTTCCAGAGGGTCCATCTTGTAGACAACCCTGGTTTTTACCTGCTACCTTCAGCTCCAGCATGGTTTCTTCGTAAAAATTCCCATCTTTGATGAGACACTGGTACTGCCCCTCGTCGCTCAACCTGGTCCTGAGGATCCTCAAGGAAAGGTTCCCAACGGAGATGCCCTCTTTTAAAAACTCTGTCCTCTCCTGGTATTCGGGCATCTGGGAGGAGTAGTGGTCCTGCCCGCTGTGGTAGAGGTGGACGTAGACGGAGAACTTGGACCGAAACCACCTCACCTCCATGTTCTCGGCGTTCAGCCTAGGGGAGAGGTGACAAGGCAGGACGACGTCTTCTCCCACGACGGCGGTGATGGGGTGGTCGGATCCCAGGACTCTGAACCGGGCTGCGAAAGGTGGAAGGTGAGAAGAAGACGTGCCTGAGACACGCGGTTCTGCTACATCGTCTGTGCAAATAATTGAGTTTATTTCATTATTTTTTTAATTTAAGGATTTTGGTTGGGTTTGTGGAAGCGACCGTCAACCCAACGTGAAGGAACATCACCGTGCTCTTTCGCAGCTGGATCCGAAAAGTACCCCAAGATCAGGAGAGCTCTTGCGAGAAGAAGAAACCACCCGAAAGCTGCACAAACGACGGAGGAGAAGCCATGGAGGGAGAAAGGACAGATTTTTTGGGGCGCAAGGGTGCTGGAAGACAGAGTTTGGGGTTGGTTTAGATGGTCTGGGACCAAGCCAGCTCTTGGGCTTCACCCATGGGGATGATGGCTCCTCAAACCATCACCTCCTGGTAGGGCGCTTCTTGATGGAACCTCCCCAAATCCCCAGAATTTGTTATTTATCTCACTTAGCTTTTTTTTTTT